GGATACCGGTACTTATACCGGTGGGCAATGGTCTGGCCTCAATGCTGCGAGGCCAGGCCAGACCCTGRACCGTCCAGATGGACGGTTCAGCCTCAATCGGCGGGCGGCAGCTTCAAGAGCGCTGCCAGGCCCAAACGAAGCGTCGTTTGGGCCTACCCGATGGGTGMTRGTCCAAAATCAGGCCTTTAGGGCCTGTAACCCCAAAGGTCGGGCCTTTAGGCCCTGGTGTGTCCCTCCGGCCCTAAGTCGGGTCCGGTAGGACCCGTGTGAGTCGAAGATGTAACACTCTGACACGTGCTACTTCGTTTCTTCTTTGCGTTTTGCCTTCCCGGGTGCTCCAAGATGCTCTCATGTCAATGCTACTCCCGAGAAGTCCCCCACCCAAAAAGCAACTGCCAAGCAGATTGAATGCTGATTGTTTCATTCATACAATGCAAAACCTGTGTAACATCAGTGTCACTCTTATAGTTGGAGCTGACGTCGTTCAACTTCCCCGGGCCAATCGTCAATGACATCATCCGAGCCCACCAAAGTGAGACTCACCCACACACGCATGCACTTGCGCACATAGCGTAAAAACTCAACAAGTAAGCACGGGGCATGCATACACGCAAGATGGGTTGATCACAAACATATCCAGAGAACACAGCAAACAAAGTCTGAATCTGAATGTTTAGCTGCAAAAACATCAACGGGACAATGGACAGGATTTTCTCAGAAAAGTGCAGAGTTCTTGCACATCACAAAACAAAAACGATGCTGCGAAGGTAATGGCTCCGCAAACAAAACACTCAAAGATAAAGGGAAAACAAGGCTCGGCGGCATATGATAGGGGAGTTCCTTATGCTTTTTCTTTTTTTTGTGCTTTTTTTCCTTTTCTGTTTTTGCGGGCGAAGCCGCAACGGGGCATCTAGTCATCTTATAAAGCTTCTATTTCATGCCAAACAGCGACACAGCCGTGCTTGAATCACACCTTGGCAAAGGCACTCACCATTTCTTCAACGTCTTAAAAGTTGTCAAAATCTACACAAGTGGGGACCCAGACAGATTAGTAGTTACGGATTGATACTTTCTGGCCTCAGGCCCAACCGTGCCCTCAGGGAATTGAACCTGCACCCTCGACCACAACAGCCAGGTTTCTTAACCATTACCGCCACCAGGACATGGTGTTTAAAAGTGGAACCGACCATAGGTCATCAGTATAGAATCGCTAAAGATGCAGCTGATGGATAAAAGACACACGTGGCAGCGACATCGGTGTACTATCAATGAAATGTCAAGTTACAAAAATATTCACGGAACATACGCATGAAAGCAGCACCATACACACAAGGGAAAGTAGGTCAAGGGTGTGGGGACAGGTACACGCTTGTTTGTTTTCGAAATACACGCTTCCCCTTCTGAGCGCTGCGAGCGCATCTGCCTCCTGTAGATGGGTGGGAAACTGACAGGGGGTAATGTTGATCAAAACGCATGGTCATGTATGCGATGGCTGCCACAAGTGGATGAGGTCGCAAGCTGAGAAGCAGGGAGAGAAGTTAGAAGCAGGGAGAGAAGTTGGGAGGGTTCGGAGGAGGAGGGAGAATGGTGGTGGTACATGTGCTTGGCATACATGGATAGCAGGAAAGAAAGTTCGGGAAGCATCCATCTGTGCCTTGGGTTTCGCTTTCTCAGACTTTGGCCTCCTTGTATGTGCTTTTTCTGTGTGCGTCCTTTGGATGATCTCTTGCTTTTGGTGTGCGCTGCGTGGACCGTCTTCTTCGTCTTTTATTATGGTTTTTTGCAGATGTGGAGTTTGGCAGGGTTCAGGCACGGGATCTGTTACAGCACCTGTTGAATGGTTCCATGTCGTCCGGGTCCTTCGAGATTGTCCAGGTTTGGTTTTCAATCGCTTCCCCACTTCCACCTTGTCCCTCACTCCTATTGGATTTAAAAAAAAAACATCTGCTCACTTTGCTTATCACTATTTTTTTAATTTTCTATTTTTGAGTCACGTTGCTTATGTCCATATTCCGTTTATTGTGCTTTGCTCATCACTATTTTTTTTATTTTCTATTTTTTTAGGCGGGTGTTCATCACTTTCTTTGCACCATAGCACTTTTGTGCTTCGGCGTGTATGCAGCAGTTTGAATCACGTTGCAGACTACTTTCCGATGGGTGAAATCTGCAGCAGGTTTACTTGCTTGAGGGGTGAAATGGCTCTATAAATTTTCTTGTACTCTTTGACTTGGTGGAAAATGCAGCAGAGGTTATTTGCTTCGTTGTAGTCATGATATTACTTCACGTTCGGGGTCATACACTGCCTGGCATGCTGGTGGTGTGAGTCAAAGAAAGGCAAATGTTGTTTGCAGGTTCATGGGTGGCAGGGGTGATTTGTTGCAAAAGGGGCCAGTAATTTGTATATGATTGTGGGCCATTCGCAGCACAACAAGCAGTTGCTATATGCCAGACTATTTGCTTGTGTCGTCTGATCAACCTTCATGGCAACTTCACAACAACTCCACAACACATGTCGGAGAAAGAGAGGTTCAGGGGGAAAGGGAAAGCAAAAACTTGAAAAGGGAACAGATACAGAAAGATGTCTGTACTCTTGAGAAAAAGAGGAGAGGATGGATACGCGTGGAAATCAACGTAGCTGGTTTCTGAAGACTGCACACTGTTCCAATTAAACCACCAGTGTTTACAACCCTTCACTTGCCCAGCCATCCTGAGCCACTGAATCTCAGCAGACTCTGCTCAATGCCGATCAGGGGATCCAGTGGTCTACCTCTAGGTGGCGGGCGTCAAAGCATGCCACGGAAGGTACATGAGGCCAATTGGAATTGAACCCATGACCTCCTGAATGCCACTTGCAAGCCTTACCAACTGAGCTAGGCCACTGAGGGGAGGCACAGTGATTGGTCCTATTGGCATGGTCCCTGATGCTACCGACTGTCCCTGGCTGGTATCGCCCACACGGATTGGTCCTCTTGGCATTGTTACATGCTGAAAGCCTACACACGGGCCCCTCATGGGACCCGAGGTTGGAATAGGGCCCCCAGGTCGCGTCACCGCAACCTGAAGGCCCTATGGCATTTTTACTTGGGCCTGCATCAGAAAAACGCCAGCTTTAGATTATTTTTATAGTCTTTATTTTATTTATTTGCTGCTGTTTTTCTAACGGGTGTACTGTTGTCCGTTTTGTGGCCAGGTAC